AAAATAGTAGGAGTATAAAGCTCAGACACTTGTTTCAAGATATCAGAATATGGGTTCTTGAGTCTTGGAATTTTTTGACGTGCTTCATATTCACACTTCAATTCATTATACCGTTTTTCTTCTACAACATCCTCAAAACGATTAAAAAACTTGATAAGATCCAAATTCACATTGATAAAACTTTTAATATCAGCATTCACACTTTCACTAAGTTGGGTGCTTCGCATTCCCAATGTGAAAGCCTTCTTCAGGTAACAAGATGCCCATTTTTCCCTCACAGAATACACTCTTTGCAACCAAGTGTTTTCCTTAACATCAAACTTTTCAAGGAGGTTTCTCCAACCTTCCTCAAATTGTTCTTCATCATCATAGCCATACATGCATTTCTTAAAGTCACTAAGAAAATGTGATTCCCCCTTCATTAAATTGCCTAAGTGCTTGATGCCATTCTGCATCAAGTGCCATGTACATAAGCCATGGTAAGTTTCAGGAATAACCTCAACTAGTGCTTTTGCCATTGCCTGGTCTTGATCAGTAAAAATTGTTTGGGGTCTTTTTTGTTTGTGTGCCTCCAGAAATGTTTCAAAAAGCCACTTATATGACTCTGTTGTTTCATCATATAATAGTGCAGCCCCAAAAATCACTGCTCTTCGATGGTGGTTAAATCCTGAGAACACTGCTAGTGGTCTATGCGAACTATTTGTGCAATATGTTGAATCAAGAGAAAGCACGTCACCAAAATATCCATAATCAATTAGCATCCCCGCATCTGCCCAGAAGACATTAGTAATTTGATCTTCGACATCTAGTTGATAGGCATGATAGAAAGGTGGACTTTCAACCAACTTTCTTTGAAAGTATTGCAAAAGATAACCAGCTTCCCCGTGTACCAAGCTCCTTTGCCTTCTTTTTCGGAGATAGTTCTTTTGATCAAGGCGAGTATATCCCAAGTTAGTTCTTCCTCCCACTTCTTTACTCATCAAATCAAATGATTTTCTTTGTTGTAAGCCAGCATCATCTGCTAGATCAATTTGCTGACATTGAGCTTCTGAAAGTTTTTGTTGAGATGACAACATATGAGTTGTTTCTTGTATATGTAAAATATGGTTGTGTTCCTCCTCAAAATCATGCACTATCAATTTTCCACACATGTTTTTAAGTCCCAGCCTTGCTTTACAATCTGTTCTGGTCTCCGATCTTGGATTAATTGTTTTATAATCTCGTTTGTCTGGCTTTCGCAAACCTTCTTTGCAACAAACAAACCTACAACAAGAAATTGAGCCTTTTTTTTTTTGTGTGTATATTGTTTCCTTACTCCAAATCCAACTCTCCCGCCATAATCAACCCAAAACTTCCAAGCATCCTCAAGGCTATCAAAAATCATATCCAATTTCGGCTTCCAATCTTCTTGCATCTTAAATCAATAATTCTGCATTTGCCATAATATAATAAACAAACATAAAATTAATAATCAAGATGCTAACATTTCAAAGTGGATTTGCGAACGTTTCAAGCATGTATTGTTATAAATGAAAAATAGTGTTGGACATATTATGAGACAGAGAGACACATATATGACAATCATTCTAAATAATTAAAGATTTATTAGTTTGCATAAATATCCTATTTATTTTTCTTTCATCAACAATGTAACATTAATAGAAAAATTATTAATTAACGGACTTTACTGTTCTTTTATCAACAATGTAAGATTAAAAATTATCAATGTAAAAAAAATTACGTTTCTATCATCAACCATCTTCTCACTCTCAAATAATTATTGAAACTTGAAAGAATTTTTAAAATAATCACATACATAAATTTTTACCTTTCAAGATAATTCCCAACAATTTTTGTTATTTGCCAAGCAATTTGAGTTAGTCCGAGACGTGTGCTCTGTTTTCTTGTTTTGGTATTGAGTTGGTCTCATGTGTGCTCTGTTTTTCTGTTTATTTACAAAGCTATAACATTTATGTAACAGTGGCGCGAAAGAGGGAGATGAACTTTCATCTATTTTTCTATTTTGTTTGGTGCCAAAAAGGAAGACGTGCCAAAAAGGAAGACATGCCCAGACGTGTGTTTTGTTTTTCTGTTTTGTTTGGCGCTAAAAAGGAAGACGTGCGGACTTTCCAAAACCATAAATGAAATTGCTGTAGTATTCCAAATTCGCACTATTTTTGGAATGAGAGGATCTTATTAATGAATTTTTATTCGCGTAAAAATATTAAAGAGAAAAAATGGAATTTTATTTATAGTCGTTAGATGTATAAGAAAATGGACGGTTGTGATCCTGATGGAGAGACGCTGTACGTATATGGCAGGAGAGGATCTGATTCCAAATTAAATTAAATTACTATAATATCCTTTATACAAATTAGCGGGATTAAGGCACTACGTGCCTCTATGTATTTTGTTCGTCGCCTAAATAATTCTTGTTGTCTTTGTTCCATGTTCATTCGAATCCTTTTATTTCTACTAGCGGGATTAAGGCACTACGTGCCTCTATGTATTTTGTTCATCGCCTAAATAATTCTTGTTATCTTTGTTCCATGTTCATTCGAATCCTTTTATTTCTATAATTTTGCCTCCATTTTTGTCATTGTTGTTCTTGTGCTTGACTATTTGAATTTTGCATATTGTTATATAATTATCTGTCAAAGAGTATTTGTTTCACAATTCATGAATCTATGCTAATGTATGAAGGGAATTTATTCTCCTAACCACTTTTCATTTTCAAAATTTATGAATAATTGTACACTTAATTATTAAGAAAATAAATAAATAAATTTAATAATCACTATTAATCAATTTTAAATAAATGCTCGAACTATTAAATTATTGAGAAAAAAAATATGACTATAAAGAGTTGAAAATTAAAAAATAAATAAGATAACATTAAAAAAAAGAGTTAAACACTACAAAATAAATAAGCAACGATTATTACGATATTAAAAACATAATTTTTAAAATTAACATAATTTCATGATAAAAATGATTAAAGTTTAGAAACACATTTAATTTATTATTTTCAAGTTTAAACTGATTTTTTTTTTCAAATAATGAGTAAACAAAATTCAGTTTAAAAAAAACTAAACTTAATAATTTATTGTAGAAATTATTAACTTAATTTCATGATAAAAATAATTAAAGTTGAGAAACACATTTAATTTATTATGTTAAGTTTAATTTTTTTTAAATAATGAGTAAACATAATTTAGTTAAAAAATGACTAACTTTAATAATTTATTGTAGGAATTATTATCTTAATTTTATGATAAAAATTGATTAAAGTTGAGAAACACATTTAGAAGCTACATCTTCCACTTCTCCTAATCTCTTCCATCACTAAGCCACGAGGAAGTTTCCTTGTTGGAAATGCTTAAAGAGACTTCTCTCCTAAGTGACTCGCAAATTTTAAAACAGAGGATTCAAAATAATGAATGCTCATATAATCCAAAAGTGGTTGAAAACACTAGCTAGAGCCTTTAAATAGATTTAGGTAGCTTATGAGATAAGTTAGGCTAATCATGGATTTAAAATGAACGATGATCTCCTAATCATGGTGGTAGGCGTGCCAATTTGGGCTTTTAGACGTCAATAAATAATTTTTTTTTAAAAATATACGAAATAAATTATAAAAAATACTATTTACCGTTCTAGGTTAAATTGGCTATGTGGCAATGTGTAAACATTACGCAGGGGGGACAGGGAGGGTGTAAAGGGACAAAACTATAAATAGAAAGTGCATGGGGGCAGGGGTTTCTTGGTGAATGAAGGTGGCGCCTAGGGGGGAAGGGTGTTTTGGTTTTTTTGTGAATGAAGGTGGCGCTTGGGGGGAGGGGTTTCCTGTGCACAAAGGTGGCGCCTAGACCCTAGGCGCCTTTTGAACAACTGGATGGGGCTCATGGGTCAAAGATGGGGCATGGGGCCTATGCATGTTCTAAACCCACTGCTCCGACGTGACAATTGCATGGTGCATGCAGGTAGTGAATAAACAGCCTTTGACCACTGTTGAGGAGGAGCTGACTGATCCTATTGAAAAAAAACGTGAGGAGCCCCTGCATTTTGTAATTCCCAGTCCCTCTATAAATTCAGCTTGAATCTCATCTGTCTCATTGTTTTGTGTGTTCTTCTGCTTATATGATCTCTTCTCCGGTAGCATGAAATTTAGTTATAAGCTCTTCTGTTTTAGTAGTGGGTGCGGTTTAGATTTGTGTAATTTATATTTGGTTGTTGTAAGTATAATTGTTGTAATAATTTATATGATTATATATTAATAATATATTTCTGTTGTTATTTTGCAGGTTATAAAACATCATCAATTTATTTGAAGTATTTACAAGTAAGTATAAGTAGAGATTGTAATATATCTTATGTGAAAATATTAGTTGATAATAAAAATGATGTTATATTTTTGAATATATTTTGCTATAAGTTAGTGGTGGAAAAGTGATCTATGTATAGGATTTACTAAAATGTAGTGTTATATTTATTATAACCCATGTTGAAACGAAAAATTTACTTAATAAATAATAAGTAATTTAAATGGTAAAAATATATTTTGATTAATAAAATGTAAGTTACTAATAACATAAAATAAATATAAGTAGCGATTACTTTTGTTTATATTGTATGAAAATTTAGTAATATTAATAAATAGTCAATTTATCTTATTTTATATTTACAAAGAATTAAAAATATATATTATTTTGTTATATATAATTAAGAATTTTGGTATAAATTTGAATAAATTGAAATAATATAAAATTGTGGATTTGTGTTCTAATTGTGTAAATATGATTTAAATATTTATTTGTTAAAAATGAGGAAATCTTAAATTTTTTTAAAAAGTTTGATATTTAGGTTAATTAATAGAAATACAAAATGAAAATGTAATTGATAAAATTTGTTATAGTTAAATTGAGATAATTGAAAAGACTAATTTGTGGAAATGTTTATAAATTCAAAAAGTTGCTAAATATTATATAAATTTCTAAATGAATTAATATTAATATAATTTAATTATAGTTTATATTATATAAGAAATGTCTCATAGATGAGTGGATTATGTGCTAGACAATGATGGGGAGGAAGTCATTGTTCGCCCGGAGGAAGAATTGGCACATGAGCGATTAATGTCTGAATGGAGAAGGATTAGGGCAGCTGAGGAAGCTACTAAAGCTAGAGAAGAAGATTCATTGTCTCCGTTGTCACCTCCAAAACCGAAACTTGGAGATAACAATAATGAGGACACATTTAGGTCATGTAACATTGGCCCTGTTATTCCTGGACCAGCTGGTTTGGTGGAAGCTACAATGAGGAATAGGTAGACTGGTAATCCTTTACCAACGCAAGAGTTTTATGTTGATATTGGTCGAGTTGCGAACATGTTGTTCAACAATAACCCATGGTGTTATGCAGTTCATTATGTGAAATCCAGAGGTTTTTATCTATAATAAGTTTTTTGTGTTTAAATTTATTCATGCGATTAATATAATGCATTGTATTTGATGGAGGAGGTAGGAGAAGTGGAAGTAGTGCTTCTCCTAGACTTCTCCTTAGCTTGGATCTTCTTCAATGGAGATGTAAACCGAAGATGAAGAACACTTGAAGGAGGAGGAACTCGGATGGAATGAGGCTAAGCTTGGATGGAAGTATCCAAGCTTAAGGAGCAATGGAATGCTCACTTCAAAGAGAAGGAAACCTAGTAGGGTTCCTAAGGTGTAGCTCTCTTTTCTCATGGTGACTTTGATGAAGAAACTCGGCTCAATGGCTCTCAAATTTCATAAATGTCAAAGTGAATACAATAGGAGAAGAATTACTTTAAGTAGGCTTCCGAAAATTGCACAAGTTGGCGCCTAAACCAAAGCCCACATGTGGCGCCTAAAATTTGAATTCAAACTTGAAATTTGAATTCAAATTTTGGCTCCCATGTGCTTTGGCCATGGATTTAGGATCTAGGTGCATATAAGTTTAATTTGAAGGTTATTTAGGGTTAATTTGAGTGGCACATGTTCAGCCACCCATGGTGCTAAACATGTGACTCAAATGTAACTTAAATGACTTCCAAATTAAACCTAATTTAGTCTCTAGGTGCATCTAAGTTTAATTTGAAGGTTATTTAGGGTTAATTTGAGTGGCACATGTTCAGCCACCCATGGTGCTAAACATGTGACTCAAATGTAACTTAAATGACTTCCAAATTAAACCTAATTTAGTCTAATTTGCCTAATTAAGTAATCCTTGTATAATCCTACTCTA